TGAAAAATTTCATACTGATACTAGCTTAAAAAACAATTGTTTATAGTTAATTATGAGATATCACTCCTGTTTAGTGATGAGACCATCACTTACAACCATGAATTATTATCAATAATATGTTACAAGTCTTTTCTAAATAGCTAAGATCCCAAATTAGAATCAGTATGTATCAGCACATCTTGTTACAGAAATTTTATTGACTGCTAACCATCAACACAACAGAACAGACTAAATGATGAAGTTAAGTATAGTTGGAGGCTACTAAGAAAAGCACTGAGATACCAAATAATGACTCCAGAAGGATCAAACAAAAATCTTACTGCCACTACTTTAAAGTAAGCTATACCTAATGATGTTAAATGTTAAGTTTAACATATTCAATGTAAAGATGAGAGGCAAAAACTCACAAGTAAAAAATGAATTCCCCCAAACCTCTGCTTTATTCACATTCTAAGAATTAAAAAAAAGCTGAGACTCGGGATTGAATTCCTTTTTATAAAGCTCCTGACAGGTTTATGATTAAATATTTTTAGCAACAGAGAACTTAAAAGGCAGGCCACTAAATTTATGGATTGCATTCAATATTAAAAAGTCCTTTGCTATCCAAGCTGAAATAGCCATCCCAATAATTATCATTTATTGGTCCTATGTACCCTGGGGTTACAAAAACACAATCTAATCCCAAGAAAGAACAAAGTCAGGTATACATCAGCTCATATCACAAATAACCATTTAACTTTGAATGCGGTATCTATAAATTTTAGGCTTGCCAAGGCAATTCTTACTAATAAAAACAAAGCCAGAGGCATCACCTTACCAGACTTTAGGCTATAGTACAAGTCCACAGCGATAAAAACAGCATGGTATTAGCACAAAAATAGAGACACAGACATATGGAACCGAATAGAAACAAAAGAGAGAGAGAGATCAAACCAGTCACTTATAGCCATTTGATCTTTGATAAATTCAACAAAAGCATACACTGCAGAAAATAATCATTATTTAACAAGTGGTGCTGGGAAAACTGGTTAATCACATGTAAAAGAGTGAAACTACCTGTACTTTTCACCACTTACAAAAATTGATTCAAGATGGATAAAAGCTTTACATCTAAGGCAGGAAACAATTAAAATCCTAGAAGAAAAGTGTGGGAAAACTCTTGAAGATGTCGGCCTGGGGAAACATTTTATGAAAAAGACTTTTGAAACAATTGCCACAACAAAAATTAACAAATGAGACTTAAACTGAAAAGTTTCTGCACAAATAAGAACACAACAATCAAACCAAATAGACAACCTTCAGAATGAGAAAAGATTTCATATTACAAATCTGACAAAGACTTTACAAGTAGGATCTATAGAGAACACAAATTAACCAACAAAAAGAGCTAACAATCCATCTATCACTGAGCAAGAGACATGAACAGATCTTTCTCTAAAAAACGACAGACGAATAGTTAACAAATATGAAAAAAATGCTCATTGTCTCTAATCATCAGAGAAATGCAAATCAAAACTACCACGAGATCTCACCTAATCCCAACAAAGTTAGTCCACATCACAAAATCCCAAAGTTGCAGATGCTGGCACAGATGGGGAGAGAGGAACACTTATACACTGTTGGTGGAACTACGAACTAATACAGCCTCTTTGGAAAGAAGTATGGAGAATCCTCACAGAACTCAACTTAGATCTCCCATTTGATCCCAAAATCCCACTACTAGGCATCTTCCCACATGAGAAAAAAAAATCCTTTTATCATAAGGACATTTTCACTAGATTGTTTATTGCACATCAATTTACAACTGCTAAGACATGGAAAAAACCCATTACAGGGAGCTATGACTACCAGTGCACTCTGCTCAGGGCACAGGGTAGAACTCTGTCTCAAAAAAAAAGATGATGACTTTACATCTTTCATATTAACCTGAATGGAGTTGAAATACATTCTTCTCAGTAAAGTATGACAAGAATGGAAAAGCAAATATCCAATGTACTCAATATTAATATGAAGCCAGTAGATGATCTAATTCATGCCCATATAGCAGAAAAACTCATTTCAATTAGAGTTGGGGTGCTCCCACTAAATAGGCATTATGTAAAAGTATTTGTCACACCTACAACAGGGACTTTACTTAACAAATTCTATTACTGTGATTTGCCGTCTGTACCCTGACATTAACAAGAAATAAAATAAATAAATTTTAGGCTTTATACTCTGTAAAAAAAATAATAAACAAAAAACAAATATGGCTCAGCACCTATAGCTCAGTGATTAGGGTGCCGGCCACATACCAGGCGGGTGGGTTTGAACCCAGCCTGGGCCTGCTAAACAGCAATGACAACTACAACAAAAAAATAGCCAGGCATTGTGGTGGGGCCTATAGTCCCAGCTACTTGGGAGGCTGAGGCAAGAGAATCGCTTAAGCCCGAGAATTTGAGGTTGTTGTGAGCAATGATGCCACAGCACTCTACGCAGAGTGACATGGTGAGACTCTTTCTCAAAAAAAAAAAAAAGCTGTTAATTAAAAGGAATAATAAATTTATACACTCATGAAGCATTTGTGATATGTCAAGTATTGCATTTGTTATAGGGTTAAAAGCCAAGGAAGAGGTAAGCTCTGATCTTAAGGAGAGATGGAAGAGAAGTTGTTTCATATAGATATATGCACAAATTAAGTGCATAAAACATTACAGATATTTATTATATACAGGATACAGAGAAACACAAAAGAGAGGGTGGTCAAATATACCTAAAGGTAAGTCAGTCAATGGCAATGATAAATGGCATAAAGAATGTACAAGAATAGACAAACACGGATGTTACATTCTTGGCATAGAAAGCATTCAATAAATACTAGTTCCCTTTGTCCATCCTATGAAAGCCCTTGAAATATCCAATCGTTAACTTACTTCCTTTAACAATTCTCTTTTTCTCTGACTAGCTCTATTTCCTATAGTATTATTTCTAAATTAACAATTCAGGACAGAACTATATATGCTTTGACATTATGTTTAAGCCTTTGTAGGGAAAAAAAGAAAAAAATTATATATTTTAACAGCAAATTAAACCAGATTACATTTAAGAACCAAGCTTAAAAAAACATAAACTTGCTTACCTGTACAGCAATGTACAAGCCTGGAACATTGAAGGACTCAAACATTATTTCAGCAGTATATTCCCTGTTTTCTGGAGTATTCAGTGGAGGTTCAGTCTATTAAATTGAATAGAGTATTAAATAGATAGCATCAGATTATTCTGATAACTTTATAGACATTTTTAAATGAGAAAGAATTTATTTCAAACATTGTGTTTAAAATGCATTAAACTTATAGGGATTCAGTTTCATCACTCTTTTCATGTGAATAGACCATATTATTTTCATACATGTATACATGTGTTTAAATTGTCTACAATTTTTCTGTTTTTTCTATTTATCCTTCTACCTATCAGTTAAATGAATTAACACTGAAAAGAAATGAAAAGGGAGAGAAGGAGGGAAGAAAGAAGTGACCTAGTCAAAGAACCCCGTAAGTATGGCAATGACAGACCTCCACAGAAACACCCATGGCAGGGATGCTTTCAGCAGGATGTCTCTGGTCTGTCTAGAAGTATAGTAAATAAGCCAAGATTCTACAGATTTAACAGCATCACTTTCTAGAAAATGTTATATTTTTAAGAGTATAAAATAGAGATATTCACATAGTTCTCATAGATTTAAGCTACATAAATCACTTAGAAACTTCATGGGTTAAGTCTGGGCCAAATACACTCTAATGAAGGAAGAAGGGACCTGGGGAACAGCACTCCAATCCCGGAGATTACATAAAACATTCAAATTATTATAGCTTCACACCGGCTAAGACCTTTGATTCTGTGAGTCTGATTTGACAATCCAAACCTTTGTGGTATCTCAAATACTTAAATGTGAAGCAACACTTTTAAATTTAAGAAACAGAGAATCATCTTTTTGACCTTAAGGTAAAAAATGATTCCTTGTTAATATTAAAAATGAAATGTTGGCTCAGCACTTGTAGCTCAAG